TATATATATATAACAAAATACTTCTTCAGTGTACAATCCACTGCAACAATCCAATGCAACATCACATAGCAATACAGTACACTTACACAAATAAATTACATTCATTCAGCGGCATGATGCTGACATGTAGCACAAGACAAGGGTCCTGGGCCCTCCACATCATTTGTGAAACTGCTTTACCCTGTACTGATTATGTGGTCCAGAAGGACCTACCAGAAATACATGGCGGTGCAATGTCAGATGTGCAGCACCTGAGTAAACCCCAGCTCTGCATGTCCTACATGGCACCGCAACCAAAAAAACAACTTGTATACATTTAACCTACAACAAGCAGCAGGTATGATGGGGGGATAGGGAAGAGGGATAAGGGAGGGGAAAGAGATCAAAGACCTGAAGCTTCATTGAAGGACAAAGACACAAAAGGGAGAGTGGGTAAAAGGAAATCTTGTCAGGTGTCCTCTTCCTTCTTAATGTCCATAAGGTTAGTCTCTGAGCAGAAGGGTAAAAATGTGCACTATGGGTAAACCTTTAAAAGCTGTTGTGCAAAAAGTGTGAACCCTCAATCAATAAAGCAAATAGACTCTGAGCAGACTGAACCAGTCTGCAACAGTCCTCAATGGACATCCTCTCACTCTGGTGCATAAGGTGCTACCTGGCACAACACAAAGCATCTTTGAAGCAACACATCACCTGCCAAGCAGAATCATACAGCTATAGGAAATTCCCGGCCCACAGCTGATTGGGTGGAAGTGCCCATGCCATTTTCTTGTTCGAAGGAGCTGCGGACCTGAGTTCAAGCCTAGTGAACATAGAGAACTCTCTTGCTAGGTGTTGGTGTGCGGAACAGCAATGCAAAAATGCCTAGCTGGGCATGCCTTTTGACAGCGAACATTATTTTGTTTTGCTGCATAATTTAATTTAGGATGTTACTGGAGGTAAAAGTACTCATTTACCACAGCAGAAGAAGACTAAGCCTCCAACTGGTAAATCTCCTCCTGCTTCTAAAGCCAAAAACAGTCTCTTGGTTTCTCTCGGGCTTCTTATTCCACAACCCGGACTAAAACATGAGACCAGTGCATAATGCCTACCTAATAACCTATCTCAAACCTGGTCTCAAAGTATCACCCTAACCGTCGGCTCCGCTCATCCCAAGACCTCCTGCTTTCCAGCTCCCTTGTCAACTCCTCCCATGCTCGCCTCCAGGACTTCTCTTGAGTCTCTCCCATCCTCTGCAATTCTTTACCCCAACCTGTCCGTCTGTCGCCCACCTTGACTGCCTTTAGGCATTCCCTAAAGACTCATCTCTTCAGGGAAGCCTATCCCACCTCAACCTAACTGCTCAACCATCACGCTCTCAAACAATTCATCCCCACACAGCTACCTCCTCATGTATCACTTCCCCCTCCCTTTTTAGATAGTAAGCCCTCAGGGGCAGGGCCCTCCTTCCCATCTTGTCTTGATTTGTATTGTGATTGTAATGTCTTCCTTATATTGTAAAGCGCTGTGCAAACTGTTGGCGCTATATAAATCCTGTATAATAATAATGTCTATACTAGGTTTCTTTACATAGGACAGTCATTTGTGCCGCATAATCTGACCACCCTCGGGGAAAGTAACTATAGAGCACTGCAAAGTCTTCAGCCGAACGAAGCTTGCAGTCAATCAGCTGCAAGCACCATTCGGGTATTCTGACAGCGACTACCAGCCACTATGTTAATACAGC